TTAAATATTCTTGCTATTTCAAAATTATTTCAAAGTTATTTAGTTGTGTAATGTAACACGATTTAATAGTTCAAATTAATTTAATAGTTTGGATATATTTTAATATAACTTAAGATATGTTTGACATATGTTATGCAATGTATCATTGTTTTGTTCGCCTGTTGCTTTTCCTTCTTTTCGAATCTGCCTCAACTGTTTACTTTTGTCTTTAATATTAAAAAAATTTTATTATTTAAAAAAATCTGTGCATATACAAAGTTTCACTGCGCTATTGGAATTCCCAAACAAATTGAAAGCATTGTGCAAAGTATACAGTAAACGTTCTGCATCTCCTCTCAAATCCCAATTAAAAATAAATAGATAAAAGAAATTTAACGATAATAGATTTACAGAGAATTAAGCGATAATAGTCCAATATTTTTATAATTATTATGGAATAATATTCGAGAAGAATGGAGAAAGAGATGGAATTAAATAACGAGAAACGCCTCACACAAAGAAAGAGGGCCAGGATTAAAACATACGGGGGAATGGATGAGTTAAAAAGAGAGAAGGCAGAAATATTCGCATCTGTGCCTGGTTTGTACTAACGTGGGATAGTTGTCGAAGAGTAAAAGAGAGAATTGGGTCAGCCAGCTTGGAGGGCACTTCAGCTGTAGGTACCTATCTTTCTGCTAGCGGAGCCACCTTGCCATATTGTCTCTCTCTTTCTTTTTTCTCTTTCTCTCTCTTCGCTTTCTTGTTCGAGAAAGAGGCTATAGCGTCGAAGGTAAAACCTATGACAAACCATTCGCATTAAAGAAGAGGACAGAATGAAGGAGATATATGTTCGATGCGGCAATCGCAGCCTCAATCCGCGCGAGAACCAATCACGTAGAAGATTTCCAGATATCTCTTATGTTTGCTATTTGGAAAGGAGGAAAAAATAGGAAAAGGGAAGAACTATCTAACGCTCGACAGATGAGAGAAATCGTTATGATTACAAGTATGTACGTTTTCTCTAAAAAGAATACTATCACGAAATGATGATTACTATGGAACATATGATATTATTTTGATGCTATTTTTTGACACGGGGGCCTTGTATATTAAGAATATAAATGTTAATACATTTCAGAATATTACAACTTTTATTATTATTCAGGTAATCATGGAATAATATCGTAACCTATCTTTCCTCCCTCACCTTCTCGCCTTCGTATCCTTCCATGTATCCTTTATTGCGCCGTTTGTATATTTGCGCATCTACCGTCCTGGTTATTCCTCACGCTGTCCTATTAAACCCTCCTAGCCATCCCCGCCTCCACATCGTGTCATTACCGACAAATATCCTAGCAACGAATATTCTAGCAACGATGCGACAGAAGAGTCGGAAATGAATCTTCGCTATGTATCGCGAAAAACATTTCTTGTTTGATTAATTTGAAGGTGCCAACTATTTCGATCAATCTGGAGATACATCTCAATATTTTCTTTGTGAAAAAAAAACCGGAACTTCTGATATACAAATCTGATCAAAAGACCTCTTCGCAAATTAGCGATTCCTCGAAGATTAAAAGATATGGAGCACTTTAAATTACAATGCATATTAAAAATTTAAATGCTAAAGCATTTCAAAGGTATACCGTGAAAATTTTAATCTGATTAATTCATTCTAATTTAGTTGTGACAAAATGTTCATATTAATTTATATTTTTTGCAATAGAATATTTTTACGTTATAGCAAGTCGAGGATTCACGCTTATTATTCGCTACAGCCAAAAATTGCATCTTGAATGCAATTGCAACGAAGCATATATATGATACTCGATAGGTTCAATATATGCATCGTCTCGTGGAATATCTCTCAAGAACAGTCATCGATGTCCATTGTTACGTCGACTGTTCGGGCGACGCTTTGCGCGAATTTTGAATTGATTTTTCTCGATCGAATCTTCAACAATGCGTGCGAATGACAGAGTTGCATAATTGGATTCGCGTTTTCTCTCGCAAAATTTTATGAGAATATCCGTTTATGGATGATAGATACAACAAACTCTCGATTAATGCATGATTTTAACGTAAATTTTTTAAGTATTCCTCGTTGCTTTTAGAGACGCAAATCCTTGAACATTCTTAAATGCGTTTTAGGTGATATTTTCAACGAGACAAATTCCGTATAATCCGGAAAGTGAAATATTTAAAAAGTTAGATATTTGAATTAGTTATTACTACCTTTTAAGATGGTGCACCAGGCACCTTCTCCCTTTTCAATATATAAAGCTTTAAGCTTTGACTATCCTAAATGTCATCATTTTTAAATGTGTTTTAAAAGATATTTGCGACGAAGAGAATTGAAATTCTGTATCTATATATGTATAATGTCTCCAACAGTGAAATAAAAGATTTAAAATGTGAAATAAAATATTTAATATTTTAAATATTTTTAAAATAGTTGGACATATCTCTGGACATATTATTTATAACTAGCTTTCTCTCTCTCTCTCTCTCTCTCTCTCTCTCTCTCTCTCTCTCTCTCTCTCTCTCTCTCTCTCTTTCTTTAAATGATATATTTGAAAAACGAAGGAGAAGAAACACCGAGTTTCGAGCCTTTATACCATACACTAAGATTAGTCTATTTATAAATTCGAATCTGTATGTGTGATCCGGAACTTTGCTTACGCTTACTATAATACAGTTGTGCTTCTGTCTCGGTAGAGTTTAATATGGAACATTTTCCCAGCGGAGAGAAGCGACGTTCCAACAGCCTCTCGCGATGCTTTTGACGTCTACTCTCTTTTTTCCGAGCGTGCACGCGAGTAATATAATACATACACTGCGAATTTAATAAACTTCTCTCGAGAAGCGACACAAAAGAACCGAATCTACCGGGTGTTTTGAGAACGATATCTCTTTATCTCTGCGCAATCTCTTCACTCAATTCGCGCTTCATGTAGTAGCGAAAAATTAATTCTGCTAATTGAAGTGTGTTATTAGGCTCGTTTTGCTAGGTAAAGGATTCATTTGATGATTAATCGTTTACGGTTCGTTGAAAATCAAAAGATCTCGATAAACGGAGGATTAAATTTGCGTCGAGGACATATTTCATCGTGGATAAAGTTTTCTCTGCCTGGTACGCAGAATGATTAAACACAGGATATATATATATATATATATATATATATATATATATATATCATTTATGTAGATATATACATATATGTATTTCTTTTTTTTTCAAGGCTATTTTTGTGTCATTTTTGAGATTAGAAGGCTATTAATTAAAGTACCTATTCTATATTCGATCGAATTAAGTATATTAACGGTATATGGATTTAATTTTTGATCATGTATATCCACTTCCAATGCTTGTTCATATCTTTCCCAAGAGATGGTTAAAGTGCTCTGCATTTAACAGTATTGGGAATTGTATGACATTCGATAGACACTGGGATTGATTTGATGCGCGGATAAAAGATTGCATGTCAATATATAATTATAGCACATTTCGAAAGGATGCGCTAGAGCGATCGTCATATTTTAAAGATGTAGGTCAGATAACTGACCCACCTTATTGCCTATTTCGACCTCATCGGTTTGGCCCCGGAGATTTCTTGATATTTGACAAGTAATCCTCGAAAAGCCTGAGACGCTCGTAAACCGGTAGTCTGTCCCATAGGAGACGGCTAATTTAGACGGACGAACGAATGAATCGGCATTGACGTCTTGTCTTTTGCCATCAGCTTTTGTTTTAAAAATGGATCTGACCTATACCCGTGTGATTTGATTAGGAATAACGCGAGAATCATCTTTGCATTAATTTTTATTACAATTTTAAGTAGCGTGATTGAAATATCGAATCTTGCCGCGACATTACATTTTCGATAAAGCTTGCAATTGATACTTATGTATTTGCATAAATCATTAATGGATGATATTTTAACAATGATATTTTTTGCATAGTTACATAATTTTGAAATGTTAAATATTTTTATAATCTTATGAAATGTAATATATATATTTTATATATATTTTATAAAATTATAAAAATGTTATATTTATTTATTTATTTATTTATGTGTATGTGCTATATATATGTATATCTTCATAGAAAGAGAAAAAGAGAGTATTACAGCTGTTAATCTCATAAAGAATAATTTATGAGGAGAATTAAATAGAATTATCTGAAAATAAACATATTACTCGAAATTGGTATACTAATAATGATTTATTTATTTACACGCGTTTCAACAAGATACGCTTTTAGAAGAGCGCTCCGTTTAATAGGAAAATATACTAATTGGGAGGCTGGGAGAGGAATAATAGCTTAACGCGTATAAACTCGTTTATTTAACCATTTCCAGCTCCCTTATTCTATGCTTTGTAATATAGTCTCATTGCTTTTACTTGCATTAACAGCATCCAGAATAGCAAAGAAATGCTTAAATGTAAAAACACATGTGTAGAAAAAAATATCCAATGTACAAAATATCCATAATACAAAATGTTTTATTGAAAAATCTTCTTAAAAGTTTAGTTCTTCTTTCTACAATTATAATATACAAATCCTCATAAATTATTTTGCGTATAGTTTTTTTTCAACTAACAAATAATATATAAAATTTTACTTTGCATGTTTTATGTATGAATGGCTACAAATTAAAAATTAACTTATACACGATTTATTAATTACACAATATTGTATGATTATACAAGTCAAGAATATACGAGAAATTAATTATTATTAATTGTTTATATAATAATAATATGTTTATATTAGTATTAAATAATTGATATTCTAGTTATGCCATTGTTAATTCGATAAAAAACTAATTAATTAATTATACTTAATTGTAGAAATATTAAATTATATTGATCAACAAGAACAAACTCTTTGACTCAACTTTCAGCTTCTTTTTTCCTTCTCGAGATTCCATTAATAACTGATTCAAAAAAATATCATACATCGCGAACAATTACAGAAAATTCGACTAATCAGGACATAACGATTCTGATTGCAGGAGGCGTATAGGAAATGGGTGTGCAGCTCCCTGGTGCCTTACTTTGCTCACGGGGGACCGACGGACGCGGAAACCCCGGGGGGCAGTCGGAACGGCCCCAGACTAAGGCCCTGCCGATCCTTCTGCCAGTTCGTGGAGCAACGTTGCCCCTACTTACTTCCGGGCGATCGTGCCCCCGCGTACCCCACGCAATACGCCGGCGAACCCACCTTTCTTTGCAGAGGTAAAAAAAAAACAAAAAAAAAAAGATAAAAAACGAAGTTAATCGAAAGCATAGCAAAGTTACCGTGCTTGATTCAGTTGAGTTGTTTTCTCTCTTTCGACGAACCGTCTTCTTGACGAATCTTGAAGAAAGGGTAAAAATGTTCGCTGGCACCCTACTTGCTTCGCACAAATTTGCGAAGCGACGTACATCGAATCAGTTTCGTTCTTTCGCACAACTACGTTCATTTTAATTAAGAGATATAAATTTGCATGAGGACGTAGGAGCGCATAAACAACCTGGGTGTGGTGAAACGCCCTTCATATAAGCTTCGCGAAACAATGCGGGTCTCAATGAATTTACGCGTTTGCGCTGCATCCTCATTTAAATTGTTATTGCGTACACCATAAAGTGACCAATGATGTTTTAGACTTGCGTAATTTCCCATAACAAAACGAATAATACATAAATTTTTTTCACTCGCGCACGCATTTCTATCTTCACATTTTTGTTTTTTCATCCAGCATATCCCGTTTTTTAACTCGGCTGATTCGGTAATTTTGATTCTTTACGGATATTCTGATATGAATAAGTATTAAAAATATAGTAAATAAAGAAAGATATTTATATATAAAATACATTCTCATATATAAAATACATTTATTAATTAATGATATTAATGATATATATAATAGTGTGATAATTATTAATTATCGCTGAAAAAGGAAAATAAATGTAATAATTTACGTCTTCCTTTCTATGGGAGAAATTGACCGTGTAATTTTATACGATGTCGGAGGAATTTCCTCTCTTTATATCGTCGTGTGGAGCGTAAAGGGTTGATATTATCGAGCGCATGTCGAACCATCGAATATCTCGATGTATTTTCTCGTTTTTTTTTTTTCCTCTTCGTGCGGCGATCGTAAATGGCGAAGGAATGCCGCGTACTTTTGGGTATAAACCGCGTTAAATGGGACGCGTGTCGTATGGTTATTGGAAGACCGGACGCTTTATCGAGCATTCCTTTTGTCCCACCGTCATCCCAAGATCGTCCTGGCTGATGTAATCCTGACTCGAATGCAATTCAACTCTTCACTATTCGCTATCGCATTTACGTAATGAAATCTTGGAAATCTTTCTTTCTTTCGTTATTTCATGCCATCTCCTCGCAACTCGATTTAAAATGCAGAATTTAAGATGATATAAATGCTTAGCTGCGAGAGAAAAAAATATAAATATGAAAAAGTATACACTTTAAAAGAAAAAGGAAAATGTGAAAATATAAAACGAAATAGAATAAAGAATAAATAAAGTTTAGCTCGTTGCATAAATTTTAGTTATTTGCAATGTTAATCGTGCAGCGAATTTAATTTACAAATAGATAATTGATTAGAAATTTGATTTTTGATCATTAATAGTTTATTTTTATAGTTTATTTTTATAAAATTTGTTTATCAGTTGCTAATGTGAGAATTATTTAAAAAAAAATTGCTTTCGAATTAATCGATGTTAAATTTATCTAGAAAATCTAATGAATCAAGATTAGCAGTTACGTGTCAATTAATTCGTTTTTAATCAACTAGACTTAAATTCTTATACGATAAGATTGCGCATTCGAAATAATCTAATGCACTGACATACAGAGAAAGACCTTTACAGAAGTGCAACTCTCTATGTGAACGACACACTTTACGATGCTTTTGATTTTACGATACATTCCGCGTATATTTCGCAAGCCCTCTCCCTTGAGGAAAGTATCGAAAAATGAATACAACTCGCGAAGCTTTTGAGTTTTCTCCGAAAAATGATACACGTTGCTAGAGTGCATGCTAGACAAGTTCTCTGCTTCTTGTTTTTCTTTCCCTGACGAATTTCTCCCGGTCGATGGTCGACGACCGTTCATGTTCGACCGTCCGTGCACGAGGTCGTTGGAAAACGCGATGATTTCAGATCCGAATATCCCCGAGACCGGCGAGCAGGCCGCGAGGGCGTTGCACAACAGCGATGACAGCGAGTGCTGCTTCAAGGTGTGCGCCGAGGACGAGCCAATGATGGGTATCTGCGCCAACTGTGAAGAGCCGTGGAAACATGGTAGGGTTTACGACCCCTGGTCGGCTCCCCAGTGCGACACTGCCCTTCAGTCTGATCCTACAGGTAAATTCGACGAGTCTCGTCTTGGCGATTAAAATTAACGATTGATCAAAACTTTATTAGAATAAATGATTTTTAAAGAGCAAAATATTTATCTTTGGCAAAATCAAATTTTAGATTGTTTACAACGTTTTTTTCTTTAAACTCACGAATAAAATCGTCTTCATTGATCATCGACATCTTTCTGGGCGCAGATCAGTATCCGGGTTCGCAGGCGGGCCAACCGGAAGCGGACACGGACCGCGGGCCCGCCGATGACAGCCAGGAAACAAGCACCGCATCTTCCTCGTCCAGCACCCCGGTATCTTCGTCAACCACCACCACCGACAAACAGAACACGTTATTTTGCGGCAGCGGCCGCATCGGCTCGATACCAAGCGCATCCTCGTCCGGTCAATCAAGCCCGTCGATCGTCCTCCAGCTTTTCTGGCTCTTCTCGATCTTAATTTCCCTCCCCGCGAATGCGCTGCAATACAACCTCGCGCCCTCCTGGAGCCCCTTTGGCTTTTTGCGACTGATCGGTTCCGGCCTGCCAGGCGTATTCGTTCTGAGAAGGACCTTCAACGATCTTCGCGCTTCCACTTTCGGTCCACGCTCGGCCGGAATTTACCGGTATGCCGTAGTGCGGTGTCTCTTGTTCATCCTCTGGATTCCCAGACGGGCAGTGACAAAATGTCGTCGTCGCGGATGGTGGTGGTGGAGGTCCTGGAGGAGATCCAGTAGCCGGCACTTTCGCTGGAAACTTCCTCGTCACGTCGTTCCTGGTGACGTCGCGCCCTGGCGATCCGTCCTGCGCGACGCATCGACCGCGGTCTTCGTGCTGTTCCTGAAGTTCACGGCGAAGTGTCGGTGTCGCGATTGGTGGTGGTTATGTCGCCGATGGCGGAAGTGCGGGTCGACGGATGGACAAGACGCGAGACTCGTCCGGAGAAAACGTTCTACGATGATTCGCGGGAAGCGTCGTCGAGGACGTCGGCGAGGAAGGGGTCCCAGTGGAATTTTCAAGACGGACGTCGCGAGTTCGGCCAAAACGATGTCCAGGAAGGATCCGCCATAGAGCGGCAAAGTTCGCTTTCCTGGATACCCAGGATCGTACGGGTTTTTTTCTATCTTTGGCATCTCCGCGAGAATCTTCCCTCGCGGAGTGCCGGTACTCGAGAAGTACACCAGGGTCGATCGAAGCCAGACTCGATCGAGGACAGACCGATAACGGAACGTCGCGTCGAGCACAACGCAAGAAGACAGGAAGGATTAGAGGATGTTGCACGGGTAAAAAGAACACCAACGCCGCGAGGAGCTAAAGAGAAGATAGCAAAGGCGAAAAGGATCAAGCGGAGAAGCGCGGGGCAGTCACGTCGACAATTCGGTTCCGCAGATTGGAGCAAAATGGCGAGAAAAAAGGGAGAATAACAAAGAACAACAACAACATCAACTACAAAAAAACAAGAACAGAACGAAGGAAACGTAACGTCTAGCGCTAATAATAATGATAATAATACAATAATAATGAATAAAACAAAATAAATTAATAAATAATCAATAATAATAGTTAATAATAATGATAATGATGAAATAATATAATGAAGATTAAATAATGGAGTAAACGATATAAATATATAAATATATTATATAAAGAGAAAAACGATTGAAAAAAGAGTAACGTTAAAGTAAACGATAGAATAATAATGATACGATTATTATTACACATTAAATTACGTTACACACAGAGTGAGAGAAAGAGAGAGAATAAGAGAGAGCGAGCGAGAGAGAGTGAGAGAGAGAGAGAGAGAGAGAGAGAGAGAGAGAGAGAGAGAGAGAGCGAGCGAGCGAGCGAGTGAGAGAAAGAGAGAGAGAGAAAGAAAGAGTGAGAGAGGATGAAAAAGAGAAGAACGAAAAGAGGATAGATGTAAAAGCCGACAAAGGTAGACATACAGGCACACAAAATAACACACGTACATACACAGAGGAGTATAAGTCGTTAAATTTTAACGAGGTAGCATTAAAAAAAAAACCGTAGGTAGATAGTTTCTTCGCGGCGAAAGAACGATCGAGGGAGGTCTCTTGAACGCACTAAGTAAGATGCTGACGTATTCTTATATAGTCGGTGTGTAGGCTCTGCTAGGAGGGAGGGGGAGTAAAAACGCGTGGCACGGGATGATAAATAAGCACGGCGTTATCGAGATATAATATGTGTTCGTTTAGACATTACCGTATAAATAATAACCATAAATATAAAACATAGAAAACTGTGTTGTGTAATGAGAGACCTGAGAGTCGAAATAGAGAGGGTGCGTGTATGTGCATGTGTGCGAATGAGGAGAAGAAAAAGAGAAAGGGGGAGAGAATGATGAGGAGACGCGAGGATGAAAACGTGTTGGACGACGCGCTCCACGAGTCACGTGGATGATTTACCGAGATGGAAACCGAGATCCGGGAGGGAGGAAGAATTTTAGAGTCGAGTTTTTTCCCCTCGCGCGTCGGGTGAGCGCGAAAACGCGAGATTCCAAGAATCCCTCGGCTCCCGTTCCGCATTTCGATGCGGTGCGTTCGATTACCGGGATCGACCATGCGGAAGGTAAATGTCGTGGACGGTTGCATGGTGGCCGGTCGCGTTGAAATCACGCTGGTGATTTCGCCTCGCGCGATGAAAATGTCAGGACTCCGATTCTTTCTAGGCTTGCTATGATTCTTAAGCGTCATCTTGGCTCGGATTCTTCCCTTGGAATTTTACGCGACAAGTTCATTAAGTTTTGAATTCGTATCGATCCGCATTTTTTTCCTTTACCTGTTACGTTCTCCATTTCATTCTTTTCGTTTTCCCATTATTGGTTTCCTTTGATTTTCGTTATCTTTTTTTTTATTGGAGAAGATCTTTTTGTGGAAGATTGCGCGCGCTTTTGTTCGTAGCTTTAGGGATCTTTTGGAATGGAATATCTATCTGTACGGATAAGATCGAAGTCGATTGCGAGTCGATTTTGGGATAGAGACAATAAGAATTTTAATTATACTAATGGAAATTCTAAATAAATGCGAAATGAAAGATAGGAGTGCGAAGGTTTAGCTACTTTTTATCGAGCAATATACCAAAGAATGAGATCTTATGAATCTCCATCGAACGAAAGATGCGAACAAAGAAGGGGAAATAAAAATATGTGAAGTTAAAGCTATGTAAACAGTGGAAAGAGGTAAGGATATGATAGATGAATCGACAAAAGAACGCGAACAACGCACGAATAATGGCAGGGTATATTAACCAAAGGAAATTTAAATCCCAAGGGAAGCGGATTTCGTTTCGCTTGTGTAATAAAAGACTTGGTGTAACCGAATTTTCCGAAAATAGGAAAAAAATAGCGCGCGCACACACATATACACACACGCATACACATTCGCGCGCGCGACTATCGTCGATGAAAAATAGAACGCAGGGTAGGAGAGAATGTCCTCGATCACGTAGAATAAAGCGCGAAGTAAGAAGAAGGTGTTTTCTGGTCACGTGAAATAAGAAGCGGAATAAAATCTTCGATCACGTCAGGATCAAGTTAAGGAGTAGAAGTAGAAGAGGACGAAGAGAAATGAAGACAGAGGGAGGAAGAGAAGATCACACGATACGCACAAATTCGCCCACCGCCTAAAGAAATCGTGCTGTTACTTGTTTGTGTTATTTCTCGTTGTTGAACCGAGTGAAGCCACGCGAGGGTGGAACACTGACAGAAAAGAAAAAAAGACAGCCTCTTATGAGAGAGAAATGTATCTATATATAATATCTATCTGCCATCGCGGAAGAAAACCCGGGGTGCGGCGGTTCGATTTAGCGGATCATCGTAGCCCCGATCTCTTAGGAAGACACATGCACATTCAAACACACGAACACGAATAGAGTGTTCATGCGCAAATCGTGCCCGTTAGTGCGATTGCATTGCGCGAAGAACGAAGGTGAAGAAAATCGTATTTTGCGCGAAATCGTACACCTGTTCCAGTCGGTGCGACCAGGTGATTCGACTCGAGAAATAACGTCGCGACGCCGACGCCTCTTTCTGGTACGACGAGAAGAGGGAGGTAACTACCTTGGCTCGTTTTTTTTTCTCTCTTTTTTTTCTCTGATTTTTCGCCGTATTTCCTCTCTCTCTTTCTCTCTCTCTCTCTCTCTCTCTTTCTCTTTCTCTTTTCTTTGACCGTAATTTCTGCGGAGGTCAGTGAAAATTGATCGAGTTTCTTTTAATGTCACACGGAAAAATGTGTGATCTAATATATACTAAAAAATACGTATATATACTATATTTGTATAATTATAACTAAATTATATTAGATGTAACATAAAATTATTATTACAGTTAATACATAGACACATATATACATACGTTTAATATTTAATATATTTATCTACCAACTGTGTAACATATTTCATCAGACTTGTTATTTTCTCAAGAATTTTATTCCGAAGTCAGAATTGAAAAGCTTCTCGTTGCAATTGTTGTTTAATACCTCTCAGGTTGAAAAGTTGAACGAAAAGTTTAACTTTGAGATGAACGAACGGACGTTTCGTAATCTCGCGTTAATAATTAATATCGGGGAAATTGTATACCGACGCGGATGTAAACGCGGCCTAATTACGCCGAAGGGGCGAAGCTCCGGAGAGCATAATTTTGCAATCAAGTTCGATCGATGCAAAAGGAACGCGGGGGCGGGAACGCAGGGGATGAGGAGGGGAAAGAAAAACGGGCGCCTCCGCGCTGAGTCAGAAGCGCGCGCGTCGCGCTTTGATTAATCGTCGCCGAATCCGTTTATAAATCTGTTACGCCGCGTCGCGGAGAAACGTCCATTCTTGATCCAAAACAACCCGCTCGCGCGGCGAATCTTAATTCGGCGAATAATTCGACGGGAGACATTGGACGAGTCCAACTAACAAGATGAGAAAATCGAATCCTTAGCCCTAAACTTTGTAATTGTGAGATGCATCTCCGTTGTTTACTACTTTACTCGAGTAGTTTCCAACTTTTGGAATGATTTTCTTGGAAATTTTGGAATCTTCTTGATCCGCCTGTTATAATTTCTTTATATTTCTCTATACTTGTACGTGTAATATAATATTATATTGATATTATTATTATTATATTACATTAATGTTATAATTTATCAATATTACATTAATATTATATGTATATAATTTTGATATATTATATATAATTTTATAATATAATTTATATAATTTTAATATATTATATCTATAATTTATATCTTACAATCAATACTTGTTCAAATTTATTTGTTCATTTCTTTCTGTCAAATTTAGGATAAATTTAAGTGGTTATTCAGACCTTTTCGACATTTGGATATAAAGAAACATTTAATTTTTGTTATCTCAAAAAAATGGAATGATAAATTGGTGCACTCGAAAATGCAGTTGCGTTAGTATGTGTTTTATACGCGTGTCTATATTCATAGACGTAAGTGCAACGAGGGGGAAGAGAAATTGTTGAGGATGAATTATGATCGTCCATCCCGATCGACTATTTGCTATTTACTCGGTCTAGCGGGAACGTTAAAATGTTCTCTAAAGTGTTCTCGCTGGAATCTATCGCCAAGAAATTGTGAGTAGATAACGCACGTTATACAGCAGAAAATACGTAGCATGAATATAATTGGGTTATAAATAGGTACCTCGTGCAAATAAAGTACAGAAAATTGTGACATTAATTGATGAACATAATTTAGTTGTATGTGTTAGAATCTTTTGCGATAAAGCCCTTGTTTCAAAGAGACATACATTATAGTAGAAATGAATTGAAAAGTAGAAGAACACTCTTTCCATCTTCTGAGATTAATCGTGATAAAAATTTCGAGTTAAGAAGCGTATTTCGTCTAATCGATTACAATGTCTGCTTGATAAGAACCGGGAAAGAAAATGAGGGGAAAAAGTGACAATACACGAGAGAGTAAATAGCAAACAGTTGAAGGGCATAGTCATCATTGCAAAAATGTAGAAAGAAGAAAAAGAGAGGAAAAGACAGAGGAACAGAGAGAGAAAGAGAAAAGAGAGAACAGTCGTTGTCATCATTGTGATTGCAGGAAATCGTGCAAAAGAATAGGGTGTGTTCATTGCACATTGCGGAGCAGAGAGAGAGAGAGAGAGAGAGAGAGAGAGAGAGAGAGAGAGAGAGAGAGAGAGAGAGAGAGAGAGAGGAACGAAAACGAAAAAAATAGAAAGACGTTTGGCTTCGCGCGTGTGTTAACCGTATTGTTAAACATTGTCTAATATGTGATTGTTACCAATTTACA